GCCTGCCAAGGCAGCTGGGGCAGGCACAGCACCTTTAGGTTCTGGCACTGATGGTTGGGGAGGGGCCCACAAGCAGCACAGGTTTCCTCCCTGGGCTGTCGCCTGACCATGACTTGGTGGCGGGCTGGGCAGCAGGCCGGAACAGGGGTGCAGAAGCTGGGGTGCGGTGGAGGCCCCTCCCCAAGGGTGGGCAGCAGCATGCAGCAGAGGACCCCTCCTGTGGGAGAAGGGGCACCAACAGCAGCAGCAGCGGCCCAAGGCAGGAAGGGGTGCAGCCAACTTATCCCCAAATGCTCTGAGAACAAGTCAGCAGCTAACAGTAGCCAGAGGCAGGAAGGAGCCTGGCCATCTTCTCCTCAGAAGCTCCTGAGACCAAGCTTGCAGCAAACACCACCAGTAGCAGCCTGGGACAGGAAGGGACATGGCCAACTTCCTCCCAGAGGCTCCTCCCTCAGAAGCTCCTGAGGGCAAGTAGCCCTGAGCGGCTCACCAGGGCAGCTTTTTATACCACTGAGGCCTACACAGGTACTGGCCCCAGCCTCTAGCTTCCCCTGGCTGAAGATCTGGGAGAAGCTGGGCTGGGTCAGTTTGGCACAACTTGCTCCACACCAAAGTGTATGTTCAGGCATGAGTGCGGAGGCACAAATCTCTGGCACAAATTTGTGCTGCTCCTATTTGAGCTGCTGCAACCACACATGCCTGCATGCGTGGATGTGCCCCTTGGTAGCATTTGGAAAGGCATATTTAATTTGACAGTATTTGCACAACACAGGTTTTATTTCAGAGTGACTTGCAGTTGCAGTGTGGAGATGCTTTGGTATGTTAGAAGATGGTCACACCATGTTGCTGAGGGAAAAAAAGAAATAAGTAATTTAGTAGCTAGATTACATATATAAGCACCAAGCTACAGTATGTGAAAAATTTAGAATTGATGGAGGGGAGCCCTCCTAAGTAAAATAACTGTGAACACCCCCCCACCCCCTTCTTTCAGACCTTATCTCATTGCTAAGGTAAGGGTAGAAGGTGATTTGTTCAGAAAGCTTCAGATTGGTAGGAACTCCATTATGAATTACATAAATTATGAACATATATTAACTGAATATATAGTTTAATATACCAAAGTCAAAGACATTGAAACGGTTACCTTTCAATAAACAAGAAGTCTACTTTCATTTCCTTTGTGTTGCTAGTTGTTAGGTACTTCTGTGGATCTCCAGGTCACAGGGAGGAGGCAGGTTCCATTCTACCACCAAAATCTTTAGGTTTCTTTTTCCTCTGAGGCTTTGCTACCTACAATGGGACTTAAGCAGTTTCTTCACACAAGCAAGGAGGGCAATAAGCTGCTTGTTTCCACTGAGCTGCCAGTGTCTATTCCCAGTACTTTGAGGGGAGAGGTGACCAGGTTGAAGGGCCTAGTCAGGACTCAGGAGGAGGATATATGAGTCTGTCTCCACCAGACTCTAGATCAAAGATCACCAGAGGAAGAAAGGCTGCAGGCAGTATGGAAATACATAAGCAAAGAAGGCCCTGGATCCTTCCTTCCCCTTCCTGTGCAGATGGCAGCACCCTGTGGGGAAAGAATGCATCTTGGATTTGAAAGTTGTATCGTGTCTACCATATAAAGGAATTGTAATGATCTAATACTGTAGATTGTCTTACATAAAACATCTTCATATTATATAGTTTTTAGAAATCATTTTGAGGGAGCAAAGGACAGCTGCAATAAACAGTATTTGAAAACCTTGTCTTAAAAAGCATTTCATTCATCACTCTAAAAGAAAATACTTCGTAAGAGGTTTTTTCCAGTTTTTCCCAACATTTCTAATTTTTCCATTGAAAAAAAACCCAGAAGGATTTTTTTCCCAATCTTTCCCTTTTTTCCCCCCAAGCTAAAAACTTTCCCTTTTTTTCCCTGCACATCTCTAGGGGCTAGAGAGAAGATGACACCAGAGGGGCCCAGAGGCCCAGGCAGGGGCAAAAGAAGTCCAGCAGCCCAGAGCAGGACCAAGACAGATTGGGACCGGAAGGGTCCAGCAGCCCAGCAAAGGGCCAGGAATAGTGAGGCCCAGTGAGGGGCCAGGAATTGTGCAGTGGGACCAGAAGGGTCCAGCAGGTCAGCAAGGAGCCAGGAATAGAGTGAGTCCAAGGGGCCAGGAGGAGTGAGGCCCAATGAGAGGCTGGGAATATTGCAGTGGAACCAGAAAGGTCCAGTAGCTCTGCAATGGGCTGGGAATAGAGAGAGACCAAATAAGGAATCAGGAAAAGAGAGGGGCAATCAGGGTCCAGGGGCCCAGAGAGGGGCTACATGAAGAGCCCCAATGTGGTCCCCATTTTCAAGAAAGGGAGGAAGTAGGATCCAGGAAACTACAGGCCCATTAGTCTTACCTTGGTCCTGGGGAAGCTGTTTGAGAAAATTATCCAGGAGCACATCTGCAAGGGACCAGCAAGGGAGATCATGCTTAGGGGCAACCAACATGGGTTTATTCGAGGCAGGTCCTGTCAGACCAACCTGGTGGCCTTCTATGACCAGGTCACAGAATCCTGGGATGCAGATGTTGCAGTGGATGTAGTCTTCCTGGACTTTAGGAAGGTCTTTGACACTCTCTCTCACCCCATTCTCATTAAGAAATTAGGTGACTGTGGCGTCAATGCCTACACTGTCAGATGGGTCGCAAATTGGCTGGAGGGACACACCCAGAGAGTGGTGGTGGACGGATCATTTTTGACCTGGAGTGATGTGGGCAGTGGGGTCCCCCAGGGCTTGGTCCTCAGGTCCGCACTGTTCAACATCTTCATCAGTGACTTGGATGACGGGGTGAAAAGCACCTTGCTCAAATTCATGGATGACACTAAGATGTGGGGAGAAGTGGGCATGCTAGAGGAGAGGAACAGGCTGCAACTAGATCTAGACAGGTTACAGGGGTGGGCAGATGAGAACAGGATGGGATTCGATACTGACAAGTGCAAGGTATTGCACCTAGGAAGGAAGAACCAGCAGCATGCCTACAGGCTGGGGAGCTCCCTTCTAGTCAGCACAGAGGCAGAAAAGGATCTTGGAGTCATTATTGATTCCAAAATGAACATGGGCTGCCAATGTGGGGACGCGGTCAGGAAGGCTAATCACACCTTGCCATGCATCCACAGATACATCACGAGCAGGTCCAAGGAGGTACTCCTCCCCCTCTATGCGACATTGGTCAGGCTGCAGTTGGAGTACTGCATCCAGTTCCGGGCGTCGCACTTCAGGAGGAATGTGGACAGCATCGAGAGGGTCCAGTTCCCCCGAGCACTACCGGGAGTAATGAGGAACAACGGCCATAAGTTGACCGAGAGTAGATTCAGGCTAGATATCAGGAGGCACTACTTCACAGTCAGGGTGGCTATGATCTGGAACCGACTTCCAAGGGAAATGGTGCTCACTCCTACCCTAAGGATCTTCAAAAAGAGGCTAGACAATCACCTAGCCAGGGTCGTTTGACCCCAGTACTCTTTCCTGCCCAGGGTAGGGGGTCAGAATTAATGATCTGCTCAGGTTCCTTCCGACCCTACCTACTATGAAACTATGAAACTATGAAGAGACCAAAGGGCCTGGCAGCCTGGAGAGGGGCTGATTGAAAGGCCAAGAGGTCTGAGGAACCAGGAGGGGCCAAATGAGGGACCAAGGGATCTGGCAGCCCAGAGGAGAGTTGAGCAAAGGACCAAGGGATCTGGCAGCCCAGATTGTGGCTGAGTGAGGTACTGAGGAGCCTGAAGACTTGAGTGGGGCTATGCAAGAGACCATGTGGTCTGAAAGCCCAGAAGAGGGCTGTGTGAGAGATGGAGGGTATGAGCACCTGGAGGAGGGCTGCATGAGTGTAGGCATGTGACAAAGAGAACAGCCACAATGATGCCATCTGTGAGGCATGGGACATGGCGTAGGGAAGGTATGGAGCTATGCAATTAGCCCATAAGGCAAAGGACCACAGCCACCAGGTGGTCATTAGAGCAAGATGGGAGCATGGTGGCAGAAAGAGATCCAAGACTCCAAGATGAACATGGCTGACAATGCGAGGTCACGGTCAGTAGGGCTAACCGTACCTTGTCATGCATCCACAGATGCATCTCAAGCAGGTCCAAGGAGGTGATCCTCCCCCTCTATGCGACACTAGTCAGGCCACAGCTGGAGTACTGTGTTTAGTTCTGGGCTCCACACTTCAGGAAGGATGTGGACAGCATTGAGAGGGTCCAGAGGAGGGCCACCCGCATGATCCGGGGACAGCAGGGCAGACCCTACGAAGAGAGGCTATGGGACCTTAACGTGTTCAGCCTTCGCAAGAGAAGGCTGAGGGAGGACCTGGTGGCCATCTATAAACTCACCAGGGGGGACCAGCAGGGTTTGAGAGAGACCCTGTTCCCCCTAGCACCCCCTGGGGTAACAAGGAATAACGGCCACAAATTGTTAGAGAGTAGGTTTAGACTAGACATCCGAAGGCACTACTTCACAGTCAGGGTGGCTAGGATCTGGAACCAACTTCCAAGGGAAGTGATGATAGCTCCTACCCTGGGGGTCTTTAAGAGGAGGCTCGATGCCTACCTGGCTGAGGTCATCTGAGCCCGGTTTTCTCTCCTGCCCAGGGCAGGGGGTCAGACTTGATGATCTACAAGGTCCCTTCCGACCCTACTTCTATGAATCTATGAATCTATGAAGATCAGTCCAGGAAGCCCTGGGACAGCCTCCCTTTTAGAACCATAAAAGACGTCAAGACATGGTGGGAAAGCAAAGGGAAGGCTATGGTTAACAGGGAGGCATAACAAGAAGCTTCTTCTATGTGTAAAATGACATATGAAGTTTTACTACTGCTTTTTTGGTTTAAAACTGTTGGCTTCGAGGATCTTCCTACCCACTACAGTGGAAAGTGCATCATCTACACATTGAAATGGAGTCAACAGCTTGGGATGAAAGCATCTACAGCAATACTTTTGACTACTATACTTCTGACAATAGCAGTGATGTTAGCAATTTGTGTGAGATGGATGACTTATCTCTATTTAGTAGCCTTCTCACGACTATCCTGTACTCTCTGGCCTTTTTGTTCAGCCTGCAAGGAAATAGTCTAGTGTTATGGATCCTAATGAAATATGAGAACCTTACGTCTTTAACAAATGTGTTCATCATGAATCTTTGCATCTCTGACCTGGTGTTCTCATGCATGCTGCCCTTTTGGATTGTGTATTCTTTATATGGCTGGATCTTCGGGGATGTCCTTTGCAAGGCTGTAAATGCTGTTTTCTCCATCAGCTACTACAGTGGTATTTTCTGCGTGACCATGATGACTATTCTCCGATACCTGTTGGTGGTGAACCCCCTGTCAAGCCTGAGAACGCACACCCGCCAGTACGGTGTTCAGGCAAGCTTGATCATTTGGACTTTTAGCATATTGATTGTGGTTCCTGAGATCATGTACACCCAGAAGCAACCTGATTTTGAAGACCGCTTTATCTGCGATTACAGTGACAAGTACTGGAAGGATTTGGACCGTTACCTGAGAATTGTCTCCTTTCTGTTTTCCTTTATTGTCATTGTATATTGTTACCTCAGGATACTGACAATTCTACTCAAATCAAGATCACAAAGGAAACAGAGAACTGTGAGACTCATTCTCATTATTGTAGTTTCCTTCATTTTCAGCTGGGCACCTTATAATATAGTCTCTCTCATGCTTTCTTTTCCATCTAAAAGCTGTGAGTTTGAGAGGAACATTAACATTGCCTTCTACATCAGTCGCAAAATTGCTTTCTCCCACTGTTGCCTCAACCCTGTGCTCTACGTATTCGTTGGGGTCAAATTCAGAAGGCATTTGAGGCACCAGTGCAGTCACTATTGGACATGCATGAATGGTCCAGTCGCCAGCCCCAAGAATTCTTCTCATGGCAAGTTCCACTATGAAGATGCCTCCATTTACTGAAGCAAAGTCTGTTCTGCGGTGCAAATCCTGAGGGAAATATTCTAATTTAGAAATGCCTTATTAATAGCTGATTTCAGAGGCATTCATCTAAAAGCCGGGGGGAAAAAGGGGAAGCCATTTGTTTTGCTTGTAAATAATCCTTTTTGAACTTTTTATGTTCTCATTTACACCTATTTGTTTCCATTGCTCTCAGTAGTTTTGCACTGGTAGAAATCAAAGCAGCATTTGCCTCCTGTCTGTACTTGGATGAAGCCAGGTCTTAGGTCTTAGGTCTGGAATCTGGACTCTCTGATGTTCTTTTCCCTCTTTTTGTGTTAGTGGGTGCATCTATGTGTGTGGTTTACTACAGAGTGGACTCATAAGCTCCACAGTACAGCGTGACCATCTAGACATGCACCCACATTAGGGTACCGTAAATTAATTAGCTGTGCTGTAGGATAGTACTGTCCGAGACAAATACTATCCTACAGTGGAGTAGTTACGTGTGCCGAAATACACGTGTAGACTGTGACCAGGGCTGGCTGGGGCATGAGGGTGCTACAGTGTGGAAGCTGCCTGCTGGCTAGACCCCACAGTGTAGCCCCCTTGCGCCGCAGTCATCCTACTAGGACAGAGCAACCCTGGGCTGGCAGGCTGATCTCCCAAGCACCCTGCCAGCCAGAGTTGCTTCACCCCAGCACAATGTGCTAAGGTCCTGGGTGCACAGATGAATGCTGTGCCTGGGAACAATAAACTCCGACACAAGCTGCACCAGATCTTATTGCTATGTGCTAATTGCATATATAGATGCATTCAGTAGCTACTGATATCAGCTTAGTGCAAACCCTTTTTTATTGTTAGAGTAGTTTGGAAATTGGTAAAAGGAACTACATTTTCAAATGCACTAATACGTACTTAAGTCTCGTAACCACAAAGGGTAGAATGAATAGTCATTCTGAATAAAGCTGAAGCTTTTCACATTTTAATAGTTATTATCAAAATATAGATAGTCTCCTTTCTTTGTAAAATATGCTTTAGGTTTTCTTCTTTTCTTCAAGGAATGATAGAATTGAATTTGCTCCATACTCATAATGTACCTGAATTGCAGATGCTCCTGATACTATAATATTTGATATCCTAATCTGGGTGTAGAATCTCAGATTTAATAATGAGGTAATATTTTGCAACAGACCTTGAAATAGTGCTCCAATTAGCAACAGCTTTTCTTAGGCAAACACTTTGCAGTATCTTCATGGAACTGACAGTGCAATTTTGTTTGATCTTTAAAATGCACTTGTATTCAACCACGTATTCAGCCAGTCCCTTAAAGCATTGTTTAAGAGCTTTTATTGTGGCTTTTAGGGTTTATGCTTGAATATAGCTGCCAGAAAAAAATCAAATATTTTTACCTGCTGTTAGAGCCACAGTTGAGTCCCAAGATGGCAATGCTATTGTGTTGTATAAAGACTTTTGGGAAATCTGGTTACGCATGTTATACATTAAACTTGAACAAGTCTTTCTTTTTTTGTATAGCTAGCACACCTGGGAATGATGAGTCTTTCACCTTTCTTAGCTGAGGTGCCTTTCCTCATGAGGGAGGATTCCAGACGCAGGTTCTTCTCAAAAAGACCCTTGATGTTAATGGGACTCATCCCACCAATTTCAATATCCTTCAGATCAGGCCTTTCATGCCTTCGGACATATCGATGCAGGGTGCCCAAAGGACAACTGGAATACTTCTTCCATGTACATTTTTGTAAAACAGGAGTAACTCCGCTGACTTATGCCTGGATAAAACAGATCCTGTGTGTTGGAGGCATTTGAACAAATTGCTTTGAAACCTGAACTCTCACTAAAGCTACCAGGGACCCTCTATAACACCTGTTGTAGATACATTCTATAATCTATATAACTCAGGTAATATACTAGAGGCATGTGGGGCTCTTTTTCTTAGTTTAATATGGCTTGCTTACAGCAATTTTCTTTATAACCTGAATATGCTTTGTGGTAAGAAACCTCGACACCTGAAAGTAAAGTGCATGCAGAAAAACTGAATATACTAAATGGATTGTTACCTACTGTAACCTATGTTCAGCAAATGGACTCCCCCCCCACCTATTCTACAAATATTGAGATAAACCATGCAATAATATACTGTAGATATTGTTCTCCATCTTTAAATAAATCCTATTTAAACTGAAATGCTTCCAGTTTGATATGTGATTGTAAATTCTCTCGGGTGGGTGCGGGAGGGGCACAAGATCCAGGCAAAGATTATGGGGTGTGTGGGTGGGTGCTAGAACTGAGGCTTGGGGGCACTGGAATTGAAGCAGTTATGCTCGTAGTCCAGCAGCTATAAGCTTGGGCTGTGTGGAGAGAGGCAGAGAATTGGGCATTAGGATCAGGAAGGGTCTCGTGTCCTGGCAGATAAATACGGTGGAGGAAAGAAGCAGGGGATAAAAACAGGAGGCACCCCCACTGAACTAGGGGTTATATTTTGGCAGCACCTTTGAGGGCTGTCAGAACAGTAAAGCTGCCCTGCCTCCATCCTGATCTCTCCCAGTCTGTAGAGCTGCAGTCCCAACAGCTGTCAGGACCTGAGAGTACCTTGCTTTCACCCACTCAATTTTGGACACCACCCAGACCCTTCAATGTGCATCTTGGTCTCCCCTGCCCAACTTGGTCCAGGGTGACAAAGGAGCTTGTTATATCCCTCAGGACAGACAATCCCTGAATTGATCTAAGCTGCATAGCAGGCAAAGTAGTATTGTGTCCATAGTGTTGCTTGAGAAATGTGCAGCTTCAAAGAAATGTGTTTTGGCACACCCCTTCCCTCTTCTGGCAGTTAGAACATTTCCCAAGATATAGAATGTGCCAGTGCAAGTTTGGGTGTCTGAATTTCAGCACAGCTCTCTGGACTGCAGGTCTGTGGGCCACTAATTCATTGTTTTCTTATCAAATGACTCATTTGTTAAAAAAAAAGAAAGAAAAGAAAAATCTCTTTCCTTCATTTGACTGTGGGAAAAAGATAAAGTGGTGCTAAATGCAGATCAGGTACAGTACAGTGCACTATGTGGTAAACCCTAAAGCCCAGAGAACTTTGAGAATTGATTTAAAAACAAAGAAAAGTGAAATTACAGTGTGTGGTCTGAGTAATGCAGAACTGAAAGAAAGAACCATGAATGGTGAAAAAGAGGAAATTGATCTGCTAATAGAAACTGCTGTCATGGTGGAGGACATGTAAGAGTTAAATTAACCCATCTCTCATACAGGAAAAGGGTTGTTCTTCTGCTGTTATGGTGCCTATACTCTTACCTGTGGAGGCACCATTATTATTATTTATAATATTGACCTGCTTCTGGAGGTGATGAATATACTTAGCTCCCACTGACTTCAACAAATAGCATTTGAGCACAGTCAGTTTTTCATAGGAATTGCTTGATGCCTAGCAGGATTGGGTCCATAGCATCATAACTATGCACATGACACCTTAGTGCAAGCCAGGAAACAGAGACAAGGAAACAATGTGTAAATTCTGAGAGCTCTATTGATTTCAATAGAGCAATGACAATTTATACCAGCCAAGGAGATGCCCATAGATGGGAAATAACGTTGGATTGCCAATGGGTAAACAAGGTGACTAAATGGATCCCTGCCATCTCTAATATCTATAACTGCATGTAAAAAAGGAAATATTAAGGCCTTCAAACATAGAAAAACTATCCCTATTTCTACTGACGTCAATTAAAAATTGTGCTGTTGACCTCAACCAGAGTGTAGGCCACTTGGGGCACACCTGCAAGGTTGGCACGTTGTCAGATGTGTGTCTGGCCAGGCACCTCTGCTCCTGGCCAGTTTTGCTTTAGCTTCCCAGTGCCCTACTCCAGGTCCACAGTCTGGGTCCCTGAGCTGCTCTTGCAGTGTAGGTGCTCAGACCTCAGGCACCCTACTCCCAGACACTCCCTACTCTTTAGAACTTAAATCTCCAGCTGCCTTTGGAAGCCCTGCCTGGGCTGCCACTGGGATTTGTTCAGAGCCCCAAAGAAATGTAAACAAAAAGAACTTATCTCCTAATTTGCTCAGTCGTAATGGTGTGGCTTCCCCTTCTCCCTCAGGGTTTCACTTAAGAACTCCTCACAGCCCCCTTCCCAGGGACAGCCACAGTAACTCTGGCTCGCTCCCATCTGGCCCCTGCTGCTCTTCTTCCCTTCCCTCCTATTCCCTCCTGCATCCCTGGTCACCTGACCTCTTGGCCAGCTGAGCCCAGTCACATGTTGTTGCCTAGCAACCCAGTCAATCAGGTCAGCTGCCTGCTATGCCTACCTGAGAAGGTGGCTACAAACTAGGTACAGCACCACAGCTGCCAGAGAGGGCACAGGGAGAAGGGGGTGTAACAAAATCAGGTTTCCAGGGGAGGCCATGATGCCACCTGGTGGCCTTGCAACTGTGCCCTGCTTCACCCCTAGTGTGCCCTCCCACCTCTCCTGCCATGCCTTTATGGAAATATAAGTAGGGAGGCTGCCCACAGGCCTTCATGAGGCCTTAGTCCAACTGGACCCCACCGGACCCTGCTTGCACCCAGGCCCCTCACCGGGCTTCACTGGCCCTTAGCTCCCTCACTGTGCTACCAAAGGGCACTTCAAGCCTTAATGGATAATTGCGTGGCTCCAAATCCTTCCCTACCCCATGCCCCATGCCTCACAGATGGCATCATCATACTATGACATTGTTCCCTCTGTTGGGGCCTTGACCTCCTTGGCCTGTAGTCTTGCTAGGCCTTCTAGCCTAGGCTCACTACATCAGGCCTGACCTTGAGGTACTAGCTTCCATCTATCCCCTCTGGTCAATGGGGCCATGGCCCCTAGGACTGTGCGAAGCTTCAGGTGGTGATTCAATTCGAAGGAGATTCAGCCCAATTCAGTAACCAAATCACCAAATCCAAACTGAATCACGGGACCAATTTAAAGGTGCGAATCGATTGAAAGCTTTCTGAATCTTCAGAAAAGATTTGGACAGTACCC